ATGAGGTGCTCTACATTCTTCAGGAAAATCCTTAGATATAGAGCTGTGCTTTATGTCCTGAGCCTCCACAGCTGTACCACTATTAGGTTTGCTGACATGGTCAGAGCTCAGATTTGAGTCCATGCCCATTGTTTCTGCAACACCTGTGACACACGGTTGTTCCTTTGTTGCAGCCCTATTCCCAATATTAGCATCATGACCTCCCTGCTTTAAAGTTTTATCAGTAACTGTCATTTCTTCTTTTATAGGAGAAAGTTTTTTGTCCTTTGGCTCAGCAAACGAAAATGGAGATTTGGGGTCTAATTGTAAGTTGCTTGCACCTGCATCTGAAATTTTCTGTTTTGGTGTAACTACCTTGTCACTGTCTGTTGAAACAGCATTGTCTTCTGATTTTGACTTCTTTGCAGTTATCCCATCCCTCAAGGGAGCTGAAGTTGCTTTTGACTCTGGAACTCCAGTCCTGGCTTTAGGCTCTTGTGATTCTGCAGCTTTCTGAGGCACGCTTGTTTTCGCAGCTGGAACATCTTCCTTTTGCACAAGGGTATCTTTTATAGGTGCTTTGCTTTCCTTCTGTTTTTCCTGTGCCAAGAAAACGTCAATGCTCTCTAAATCTGCCACTGCTTTTGTCACACTGTCTCCCTGTTTGGAAGGTTTCCCCACTTTTGTGCCATCCTCTGCCGCAGTCTTGTCATCTTTATTAGATTTCTTCTCAGACTCTTTTATCGATCCTGGAGAAGCCTTTGACCTATGTCTACCAGGAGTTGACTTAGTATCCTCTTTTTGCCTGGAGGAAAGGTCTGCTCCTTCATCTGGAACTTTCTCCTTCCTCTCTACCCTCCCCTGGGGAGATTTATCCTTTGCTTTTACATCTTTGGAAGGAACAGAGTTAGATTTGTCAGATTTCTTCTTCAGGTCTGATGGTTTTGAGGTCTGGGTACCAGGAGAGGGTCTGTCTCCTGTTATCTTCTCATCTTGGTCATCCTTATCACCAACATCTGGTGGTGATGTGGTTTTCTTTGCTCTGGAGGAAGGACTTTCAGATTTCTTAGTTGGTGATTTTGGCACATCTTTACTTCCTTTTCTTTTGGAATCTTCCTCTTGTTTTATGAGATCATCAAGAAGGCTACTGTCCACAATCTGACGATCAAGAACAGGACCTTTGTACTTTTCAGGCTTCGCGTCAGTGCCTTTCTTCTTGTCTACAACAACATCTTCCTCTCTAGAGTTTCTGGATGATGGCAGGGAGGAAATTTCTCCTGTCCATCTACCAACATCACCGTTACTAGTTACAGGTGATGGAGAACTGGGCTTGTTTGAGTTTTTCTTACCTTTTGGTGATGGTACAGACTCACCCAGTAGTTTTTCCCTGTCCCCCGGACTTATATTTGGTCGTGGCAACCGCTGTGGAGGGTCAAACGTGTTCCGCAATCCCTTCTTTCCCTTCTGGCCTGGCGGCCTGTCCCCAAATCCTCTTTGAACAATCCCATCTTCATTCTCGCTCACGATCAACATGTGCTTGATACTGGGCGACTCCACTGTGTTGAGTTCCGGAACTGCCGGTTCATATGGTGGGTCGTCGTCATCGTCGTCTTCCTGTCCCTTCTTCTTCTTCTTCCTCATGCAGCTCAGTTTCTTCCCCATGTTGCAGTGAGCTCACTCCAAAACCGCTGAAGTCCACTGCGAGCTAAGCTGGCAGCAGTATGCACTGTATGTGTGACTGGCTGAACTGTGACACTGTAGCCAAATCCACAGGAAGGCCTGCTTCCCTTCTGGTGCTAGAGTTCCCAAGAGTACTTACAGATTCAGTCACACTTATCTGATCCACAGATAGGTCTCTACTCCATATGTCCTGAATAGAACACTGATTATCATGATAAACAGGCATGCAAGGAGGGGAAATCTGAATGGTGAGGCACACCAGCAGTAACGTCCCTGTCCCTTTGCCTGTCAGCCATGTATGGTATGGGGCTGAGGTAATTAGAGATGGGCAGGCCCACTCAGGCAGGAGGGAGGGGCAGGCCGACACACATGCCAGAAAACCATCCAAGCAAAGAACGGGGTTTTTCCAGACCTATTATCAGTTTACTGTCTTGAAGACATGGTCCTAATCAGAGTAATTAAGTTGAGAACTAAAATTACCTGTTTAGGTACATGTAATCAGGGAGACTTTGTTTTGATACCCTATTACAAGGGCGGGATGGACTGGTCTATATGCTGCCCTTAAATATCAATCATCTTATTACAAAGGCTACATTGTACATGAGTCATGCGATGATTAAACATCCCACAAAATCTGGTAGACCAGAAATCTCCAAGTCAAACATGGTTCAAAATCCTAAATTAATATAGTATGTTTTGTAAGTTGAATAAACTTCTGTCTACATTAACAGAAAAAATCTTTACATAGTAATAATTTAAAAAAGCTATTTCTTATTCATCTGAAAATGGGAGATTTCTCTTTGTCTGTGACATTTCCATATTATGCCCTAATTGGACACAAAGTGCTTGTTTTGTCAGCTGGTATAGTTCTAACCACAAGTACGCCATTGCTAACTGCACCTGCTACCTTTGTCCCTCCCCTGACACCGTTTACAAATGGTATGGTCCCAACTGGGTCCTTAATAGCCATGGCCTAAGGCACTAAGGCAGTGCGAACTTTTAAAGGACTTCTGGTCATGGGATAGACTTTGCCATGCTCTCTGGTGTCAACTCTTACAAGCTGTGTTTATTTTTAGATGAGGTCACAATGTTTGCAGACTTGCCATACATTTGTTTACAGTAGCAAAGTCTACAGTAAAGTAGAACAAAACATGGTTTAGGAAACAGCTCAAGGCTAAACGTGCGTCCGATTGTGGTTGGAGCAGACAAAGCGATATGGCCAGGCACCCTGAGGGGGATGTCTAACTTCTTTAGTATTCAGGACTGTCTGCACACCAGGGTGTAATGTGATTCCGTAACATTAGAGGGCCTCGCTGACATCACAAAGACTGGCCAGGGTCCAAGTCTGAGACTTCATGAGATAACAGGTAGCTCAAATTTCATTTGGAAGACATTACACTGCTCTGAAAATGTGTCTCCTCAACATAATATGTTGTACTTCCTGTCCGGAATGTAACACTAACAGTGACAAGATGTGTTTATGGACTATCGTCTGTTTGCTTGAGTCCAAACACAGTATCAAATACAGTATGCTCTAAGTCTTCTTTAGTGCCTTTCTATGAGCAGGCTGTGGCAAAATATGGTATGAAACCTGTTTTCATGATGAATGTATTTTCTTTCACCATAATTTGGCTAAGGCATCACAAACAGCTATGAACTACGAAACAACTAAAAAGAGGGCTTTTTGAATGAAAAACTCTAAAAAGAAGACTTTTTGAATGAAAAAAAGATGACAGAAAAGGCCTTAAAAAAGCTACAAAAATGTATTTCCTTCATATTTAATGTCTGATAAACATTTGTATATGTAGGAATAATATCACTTCCCATCAATCATCTGGTTAATAAGCTTCAAATTTGACCTATATTATCATCAAGGGACATCCTTATTTTGTTATTGAGGGTAAAATTTGTTCAAATCAGGATGGATGATTTCAACTTGATTGTTTTATAAGAACTCAGGGGAAAACTGATTTCATCCTGGGCAAGAGGCACCAGGCACCACTTCTGAAGGCAAACAATTTCCAGTGTTGATATTAATATATGTAATCCAATGCTAATTTACATGTAGCATAACAGCACTCTTTCAAAAAATGCATAAGCCCCTAATTTAGGACTTCATCATAATCCATCATTCTTAACAGGCCCAGACTGACAGGCATCTATTGTCACATTTGTGCCTATATCCTTATCACATAAAACAGACAGCTGATTAAAAAATAACAAAATCCATTCCACATACTTAATTGGTTTATACAAATTGAATGTATATGGCTTTACACTAGAGGGAGCCATCAAATAGGGCAAAATATAGTTCTCCATAAAAAAGATATTTTTACTAAATTAAAAATAAACTAAAAATATACACCTTAGAAATAACTGATATTCCTCCAGCACCAGCTTTACAGAATTTGATGACAATTGATCCTCCATAATAACTTGCAACTCAGGTTCTTCTGAGTAGTTTTCTGAGTAGACATTTGCAAACCCTGGTCACGTCCTCTGCAGCAACAGGGAACTCTGTAGCATCTCTTACGAGATAATCCCAGACCCTGTACTAATATGATTTACTTAAGAGCAACAGTGGCATTACACAGCCAAGTGCACCCTTTTATTGAATTCCTAACCATCTGTCTTCAAAGCAAGAAATGAAGAATTTTCAAAATGAATTTGAAGAATGGAGTTGCAGGAAATCTAAATGCACCAGTCCTATATTGTTCCTTTCCCATTAAAAAACAAACAAGTGATAACCATGTACTTGACAGACTAACTCAAAAAGGACCTGGTCCAGAATAAATTAAAAGCATTATACAATGTAACACTAGTCTAAGACTACATGACATGTATGTTTGGTGACTGCTGATAATTTAAACTTAACCTCTATAATAGACAACCACACAGAACTTCACCAACCATACAGCATGTTTACTATATATGGCCTTGAAAATGACCTTGTTCTCTCAAGTGATAATGCTTCAACTTCTTTCTTATTGCAGTCACACCCCCTATCAGTTCTCTTAAAATCTGCACCTTGTGTGTTCTAAAATAAGACTAATTGACATGGACACACTCATCCCCTTGCTATCTCAGGTGCACTCACAACAGAACCTGATGGACTGCACATGGCACAAATGTACAGTCTGAAGTGGTAGTAGACACTATAGACACTACAGTACAAATTGCCAACCAACCATAATATATTTTACATGTAAAAATATAATAAGATACAATGCCTTGCTTCAACATAACACAGACAAACAGTAACATTTAAGTATTTATGTCTGAGTTATCCATTCCTAGATAACTCCTCCCATCATCCCAGTAAGTAGTAACTGCACACTTACCCTGTTCTCCTCCTGCTGTGTCTTGACGATGTCTTCGTCCAGTGCGGGTGGTGACATGGCCTCCAACTCAGCCTCAATCTCGTCCAACCAGGGCACCAGGTCTTCATGAACTTCAGCAAACTGTGTGGCCAATGGGAGGGCGAGCTCCAGCTGGCTCAGCCTATCAGAGCTCCTCTTGCTCGCATCGTCATAGTGACGCCGAAGCTCGTCAACTTTGTCCTGTAGAAGAGAAGAAATTTGATGACCTTCGATTAGACTTAAATACAAATCAAGGATGTCTGTATACCACATGACACATACACGTGATCATTCTACATGGCACATACAAACCACACATTCTATATTGCATATAATCATATACATGTAGTTTAATACTGAATAATTCTTATTAGACCCATCCATCGTCCAGCTGTTGACATAAATTTCAAAATTTCATCAGTTCACTACTGCATGCTTCCAAAGTGGCAGATGTGAATAGGCATGTGAACTAGTCCACACCTGTAGCTGTGAGCTCTCCTCATCCACACTTGTGTCCAGCATGGTCTGTCCTGACGCAATGATCTCCTCTACACGCTCCTTGTGACGGATAACCTCCTCGTTTATCGACTGTAAAGGAAGGCAGTAACAAGTTAGTAAGATGTTGTATACTGAGATTGGACTGAAGGTTCAAGTTCAATAACATTTGGCTTCCTTATGTACATGTAGCTCCTAAAATTTAATGATCCCTGTAGTTTTGTGATGAAAATCTGACCTTTTGTTCTTTCAGCTGTGTTCGGAGTTTGTCAGGCTCCACACTGATTGGTTCCTGGTTGTCCAGCTGATTCTCCAGTGTCTGTAACCAGTCCAGCTGTTGATCAGCTCCGTGGCCCAGCTGAGGGAAATTTGACATTTTGAAAATTAGACTCCAGGTTTATCTGTACAACACAACCCCAATGCACCCCTCATAAAAATAGTTACCCCCTTAAGTTTGTGAAATGATTAAATTTTAACTTTTATCAGAAACGGAAAAGGTACAATCACAATGTATCTTCAATGTGGCTTAACTGTCACAGTGTTTACTACATTTGTACAATCTTCATTTTCATATGCTGCAGTAACACTAACAGTAAAATTGTTCCCTCACCAGTTGTGTCTTCTGAAGAGCAGCATCCAACTCATCGACCTTCTCCCTAACTGCAGCGACCACTGAGTCATAGCGCTGGTTGATGTTTGCCATCTTGTCTTCCACAGAGCGTGCCCCGTCTCCGGGACTCAACTCCATCAGTTTGGGCCCAGCCTCGTTCATGTTAGCCACCAGGGGCTTGTGTTCATCAACCTGCTTTTTGTATTCCTGAAAAGATTGCACAGATATCATCATCATCATGATTCTCATACATAGTTTCTAAAAACGATTGATTGGTCATAAACTTAACTAGAAAGGCTTAAAAAAAATTATGTTCATAGTAGAATCTGTTTGTCACTTTTCCCTTTCTTCCATTCCCTTTAATTATAATGTTTTTCCATCTTTATCTCTCCTCATTTCATTTTCCAAGTCATCTCACCCTGAATCTCTCCTGCTGTTGTTCAGAGCCAGCAGCATCTTCAGCAGTACCCATATCAGACTCAACCCTGTCCAGCCAATCAGACAGCTTCTCAGTGGCATCTTTAAACTTGTTGGCCAATGGGAGAGCTTGTTCCAAACTCTGCTGCCTGTCATTGGCCTTTGAAGAGATGTTGGCATATCTGTCCTTCATGCTGTCCAGTTTTTCTTGAATGACAAGGATCTCATCTCCTGAAGTAAAGTTTGTTTAAACAACTTATTTATGACATATTCTTTAGACATCAGAATGATGTGTACACAACAGTGATGTGTACTAAACTTAAATACAGACACAAAGATAAATAGCTCTACAGCCAAGAAAGAGACCTCTGGATTGGCTATCCTAGCTAAGGGATACTCTTCATTCTGCAGTAGGCATCCCTGGATAACATGCATGTCTTGTACCATGCAAGAGAAGCACAAGTTATGGTAAGGAAGAAGTTGGGTTTAGTAATGACAAGATACATGTACATAGTAGTTCAGAACATAGTCAACTTTACCCAATGTTCTTTTTTGTATTCCAGAAAATTTCAGGATATTTCACATTTGAGTAATTCAATACATGTACTTTAGATTTTCTATCATTCTGTATCCCAAAGATGTATTCTGGATTTTCTAAATCAATATTTCACATAATATGTTCCATGTCTACATGTACCTACATGACACAGTGGATGCCTTTGTTCAGGGCAGGCAACAACCCAGTGGTTAGGGATTAGAAATGGGGACTAAACAGTAAGTTATAACACATTGCAAAAAACACAAATTATAAATAAGAAAATGAAGAAAATCTGAAAAATTAATCGGAGTGTGAGAAACAAGTGATTGCATTGTTCAGGCCGAAGGGTTGAAGTACACGTAGCATGTGGTGCTTACCTTCTGCAGGGTCAGAAAGAGATATACGGGTGAAAAGGAAAAAAAAGAATGGATAGAGAATGAATGTCAGGAAAGAACTGTAAATACAAGGAATGAGAAGACAAGCTCACAGTATTCATACACCCAGCTTTCACCCAAACCTTAACAGTTTATTGCAAATCAATTCAACTTCGAATTGCTCCAGAACCTGAATGTTTCCTGAATAAATGATCTTTCGAGTTTCTGAGAAGGTAAGGGTGGAAACATTTTCTTCAGTAGTAAAACTACTCTTTGTAGCTTCTGACCTCCATTTATATTGTTTTTTTCTCACAAATTTTTCTATTATGATATACAAGGAAAAATCCTATTTTCATGAATTTCTTTGACCTCATACATTCCTCATGCCTACAAGCACAATGCAAAAAGAGAAAATAGACAGAAAGCAAAAATAACACAGGCAGACTAAATTACCGTGAAAGTATACATTCCAACCACATGCATACATGTATAACATAGTGCTGAAAAAAAGAAGACTATAAAGATGTTGGTACAAGTCTTCTTTAACATCATAACTAACATTGTATAAATTGTCTTTCTAAAACTGACCATCTGAATAGATGTGCGTATTGACTAATATGGTGCATGTAATGACTACATTCTGTTGACCAACCAAGACACTTCATTTTGGAACATACCATCTGAGAGGGGTGTCAGCACTAACCTGTAGTTTGTGTGAGGAGAGATTTCCCAGTTTCTACAGCTTCTTCCACAGCTGCCTTATGGTCAGTGATGTCTTTAGTGATGGCCTGAGTAAAACAGAGTCAATGTATCATTGAAAATGCTCATGATGAGAAATTTTGCCTGTCGATTTCCTACAATGTTGGACATGGCTACACATACACATAGATAAATCAAACACACATAATTCTACTTTCTACAATTAGAATCAGTAAGTAGTAACATCAGAATATTGCAGTAAAAGGTAGGTAGATCCTGCAGGATAGCGAAATATGAGTAGAGAACTTTGTAGATACATGTACAAGATCCACCACACAGAAAGATTACTGTAAGGCATTATTATTCTACCAAACAGCACATAAAAGGAGCATGTCATCAAAACAGTTCACGGTATCCAGCTTTAAATCTGTTTCCCAGCAGTTACTAAACAGGAAGACACTCAGGCTACTTGAAGAGCAGAATTACAGTTATTCTTCAGCCGTGTTGAGGCATAACTCTAACTTTGTTAGTAAGAAAGCATACATGTAACATGTAAGTACCCACACTGTTGATTGACATGGTATTGAGTCATACTAATAGCTTTCTACTTTGTGTGGGAGCACAGGAAAAAGATTCCCACGAAGAAGTGGTTAAGATGGGCTTGGGTCAACAACAAGTTTGATCATTTGGGATCCATGGAAATTCCCTTGATTATGCACACAGGTTTAAGAGAAAACACTCCACCAAAAGGAAACACTGCAGCTACTTTGTTTTTTGGCAAAGACAGGAAGAAAATCTACTGAGGTGAGAGTTGGGATGAGCTGTCAAGATCAAAGATCAAATTGTAAGATTTCTGTAGATGCAGAGAGGCAGCGACAGGAGACACTCCACTGCTACTGTAAGTAGTACCGTCTGTTCTTGCAGTTGTGTCTCCACGGTGACTGGCTCAACAGAGATGACTTCTGCCTTGGCAAGGGCCTCCTCCATTTCAGTCATCCATGCAAGCAGGGCCAGGGCATTAGCACCGAAAAGGCGGCGGCTTTCTTGCGCTCGCTCAAGTTGGTCTCCACGATTACAAACTTTTTCCTGGATGTTCTTGAAACGGTCACTGGCAGAGTCAACCTGACCCTTCACAGCCTCCTGCTCATCATTGCTGCAAAGCTCCATCAACGATTGGCCAGATTTGGTCACCTGATTTACTGCTGCCTCCTGATTGGCCACTTCATCAGCCAATGCCTGAATATTTCATGGTTAGAGAATCTTTTATGGAGAGAATTTCATTCAATGTATTATTATTCAAATATGAAACTAGCTTGTACTTTGGAAAGCATTTCAACTTTGACACTGACATTGCTATCTCACAGTTGTAATAATTGATATCAGCTTAAATTGAAGAGACTTAAATTGAAGAGACTTAAATTGAATCCCGGCCTTCATCATCAGTTTTCCCTTCCATACGTACCTCTCTATTCTGTGTCTTCCATTTCAGTTTAAATTTGTCCAGACCTAGAACTAGAACTAGGACGAGAACTAGAGTTGAAGGCCACAAAACAAAAGTGCACCAGGATACCGACCTGATGTTCTTTTGTGTCCTCCTCCATCTTGGCAGGGTCTGTGGCAATTGGCTGCTGAGACGACAGTTTCCTCTCTGTGGCCTCAAACCACTCCACTAAGGGGTCATACGCATCCTTGAACTCCTTGGCAACCTCCAAGATATCTTCAAGTTTCTGTTTTCTATGGAAGGGAATTCAAATTTAGAGTGCACAATTATATAAAAAAGTCTGTTTTTTTTATTTCAGGCTCGACAGCCTATAGTTTTCAGACACATAACATGACACAAACTGCACATCTAAAAAATTATCAAAGTATGTATAGATAAATGAAAAAGAAAAGACTACTGAGTTGTCCTGCCACAAGGAGGCAGGAAATTAGTGAAAAGTAGTGATAACAAACCTGTCTGCAGCGTTGGTGGTGAGAGCGTCCCAGCGTTGGAACAAGTCTGCCAGCTGCTGCTGAATCTTCTGCCGGTCTGCTGGGTCTGCAATACTGGACAGCTGCTCTGCCTCCTGCTTCAGGGAGTCCACTGTCGGCTTCTTGTCATCCACTAGCCTCTTCAGCAGCTGTGTGGCCAAAAAAAACATTTATTACCTTGAGTACCGTTATCTTCCCTAACATTTAATCTGAATGTCAATGCCTATGTAATCAGTCAACAATACACAGTAGGATTTGTAATCACCTTCTGCTCCTGCAGTTGTGCTTTGATGACCTTGAACTCAGAGGATGGTGGTCTCTGATTGGCCACAAGGTCTTCTGTGTCAGACAGCCACTCAAGCAGTGATGCTAAGGTCTCCTGGAACTTCCCAGAGTGCAGCAGTGCTTGGTCCAGCTTAGCCTTCCGCTCAGATACCTTGGGACAAATAGATCCATCAGCAAGAGAAATCATGATTGTATCAATTGTTCTCAAGTTTTCTATTCAGCATGTTTATATTGGCATTTTACATTAGCTCTCTTCCAACCAATACATTGAAGCATTTGATTTTGAAGCAAGTGTTGCAAGGAAATATCCACATCCCCTATATACTTTCTCACCTTTGATGCTAGGCTGTTCCATCTATCATTCACTGCCTCCAGATCAGCCTCCAGACCACTGGTGTTGACCCCAGGACTGGCTGACTGGACCAGCCCCTGGCCTGTTTTGTTGACAGAGTCCACCTGTGCCTGTAGAGGCTCGATGTGTGCCTGCTGAAACTCCTGTCATACAGGGACAAAACAAATATGTCTGAGCATCTTTCTTTACTATGTACAAAATTCCCATTTCTGAAGCACTTAGGTGCACCTGTTCCACCATGCCCTCCATGTACATGTATATTATCATATGTATATAGTCAATTGCAATAAATAAATAAATGAAGCTTTGAGGGAGAAACTGCAAATATTTTTAAGGCTTCACTGTATCTCAGCAGCTGCTCAGACAGCAGTACTAACCTGTAAGTTCTTGTCCAGCTTTTGGATGTTGGCCAAGTCCCCTCCAATGGGAGGCTGGGATTGCTGTTCCAGCTCTCCTTTCTCAATCCCATCATGCAGTGCAGCCAGCGTGTCATAGAAAGTCTGCAGCTTGCCAAGAGCAGAGGAAAGATCTGTCTTCCTTCCCCCGGCCTTGTCGTTCAGTTTGCTGAGTCTCTTGTTGATTGCATCAAGCTAGGGAAGGTTCAAAAGCAAGGATGAAATGTGAGAAATTTACTATGAATCACTGAAACACAATAACTAGATTAATAGGTTTGTAAATCTTTCTCTTTGTTCCTACATGAGTTTGTAGCATGCAAGTTTCACTAAGATAGTGAGACTTGACTGCCATGAACGTACCATGCTTCTGGCCACAATTTACCTGCTTTTTGAGGTCTTCGGGATCTGAGGCTGTGCCAGAATCAACCAGTTCCTGACATCGTTTCATTGCCGCATCAGCCTCTGCCTTCTTCTCACCAAGTTTGTCATCAAACGTCTGCAGATACAAACAGCCAAAAATTCTAACATTTAAAAGCACTGCACAAGTATGTACGTGTAGGTACATGGGATTTAAGCCAGTTAAATACAACTACACGCACATCATTAAACTTTGACATAGTTCTATACTATGACTCAAGATACCAGCAACAATTTTCACCATTTTGCAACTTGCATCACTGATTGAAAATACCAGTGCCTTCACCATTGCTAAAACATCTTCAAAATAAGTGTTACACTTACATTGATTTCCTCAATCTGAGCATTGATGGCATCTATGTCTCTGGCAACAGGATCCATATTGTCAAGGTCATCCTCAAGGTCACCAAGGGAGGTTTGAAGGTCACGTAGGTTGTTCTGCAGACGAAGATTGAAATTATGTTAATATAGCAATGTACATGTAGATACTGATTCATCCTCCCTGAAACCAGATCACACCAGATTCACCCTAATCTTACAGTTTATGTAATACCTAAATGGTAACATTTGTTTGTCTTCATGTAATCTTGTCCAAAATCAAGCACCATACTGCTAGTTAAGCTGTACTTCATCCTACCTGAAACTGGTTCAGCTCATGTAAGCCTGACTCTAGTTCTCCACACAGCTCATCAATTCGACTGGTCAGTTTCTCACAGCGATCCTTCGCAGCCTCCAGTGGACCACGGATCAGGCTTGAGTCCGTTCCCTCGGGTGCGTCTGCAAGGACGCCCTCCCCAAAGTCCTTGGCATAGTCTATCTTAGACTGCAGATCAGCCACTTCAGACTGGAGATTCTAAAACAAAGGAAAGTAGTGGTTACAATTCTGTAACTTTGTCTTTATGAGAAAGAAAGAATAAGTTTATGTCTTGCAACAGAATGCATAGATGCTACTAATACTCAGTAAATTGTTAAGAATATTACATTTAGAGACTGAGTCATACATGTAGGTTTCTACATGATTTC